GAGGTGGGCATAAAACAATACATGTTTTGTTTATTCCCCTCTTAACCAAGTGATTCTGGGGAGTGAAAAATCATAAAAACAATTAAAACAAATACAATATTCAGGACCAAAGATGGAAGAGCCTTGGCATCAGAACCAAACATACAACAGATGTAATGTGGTGAAACAGGTAAACAGATGAACAGCTTTTATTCTTATACAGATTACAAAACTGACAATGAACTCTTCCTTGGGGCCACATTAATGTATATTTTTCCTGTTGCTGAATTGGCAGAAACCTAAGCCTGCTGAAGTTATGCTGTCCTAGTAGCTGAGCCAGAGTAATGAGGCTTCCAAATGATGCTACCTTTACAGCTTGAAGATAGCACAGCAATGTTTCTTGGATTCCCTGGCTTCATTTTCCCTCTCACCGAATATCCCTGCTGGTGATAAAAACAATCACCAATCACTCTCCCTAATGCATGATGAAGTGGGATTGGGCAAGAATAAATAGGGGCTTAGATCCCACCTTTCAAGGTTTCAAGCTGTCTGACAGGCTACTGGTGCCAGTGACCTGTTAACTGGACTCTTTCTGACATTTTGTGGAAATCTGTGTCCTGGAATAAAACTGACAGTAGAGTCACAAATCTGATGGGGGATGGAGGAGCATCAGGCCCCACAGACTGAGCTCTGCATACTCGAGAATGAAATGTGAAGTCACCCAGTTCCCAATGAGTATGCAGATTCCGAGCACAGAGCCAGTCCATTCCCAGAATTATTGGAAAATATCATGGAGAGGCTAAATATTATTTATTTATCAACTAACCACATTTATAGACTGCAGCAATCCCTAAGGACTCTCAGTGATTTACAAGATAAAATATACAATGTAGAGTACACAATTAAAAATATACAAACAAAAGGTCCACAACCCAATTAAGAAACATAGAATAAAATTAACAAAGCCAAGTGTTAATCATAATGCAGCTAAAATGGAATTACATCCCACACACCCTCTGGAAGAGCTTTGTGGTGAGTTGCTTTCAGAAGGTTGTCAGGGTGAGAGCCAACTGGATGTCCACTGAGAAGCTGTCCAAAGGGCTGATGCTGCCACCCAAAAGCAGGGCTACCAGCTCTTCCTCACCCTGCTAAAGGGGGGATTGTACTTGCTGGCTCCATTCTGATGGGAGAATGTCATCCTGAGGATAACTTGGTGTCATGCCATGTCAGGGTTTATAGTGCTAGCATTTTAAATTGCACCTGGAAGGCCCTGGTAACCACTGTAGGGCCTGCAACATTGGTATAATGTGCTCCCATCTTTTAATGCCAGTTAGTACATAGTTTGCTGTGTTCTGAACCAACTGCAGCCTCTGAATGGTCTTTAAAGACAGTCCATCTTTAAGACAGTATTTTGCAATAGGCCAAAGAAGTGGCAACAACAGCATGAATCACTGTGCAAGGTCCTCCTGGTCCATGTAGGTATACCAGCAAAGCTCCCCCCCAGCTGCAGCCTCCACCTGCTGTTCTAATAAACTTGTTTTAAATATTTTATTTTTAAATCTACTGTAGATGTGTTAATGCTGTATTTGTTTGAATCCTGTTACCATGGATGTTTTATTGTTTTGCCATAAACCACCATGAATCAACATGTTGAACTCAGTGGTAAATAGGTTAAATTAAAAAAAAAAAACCTAATAAATCATAACAAGATTTATAAAAAGGCAATTCTCCTTATGTATATTTAAAATAATTCAATAAAAGGCCAAAAATAAAATAGCCTCAGGTATAGATATAAGCAGTCAAATAGATTATTTATGTGTGTGTATGTATGTATGTACCCATACTGTTTGATCTTACAAATCACTACAGAAACTACCTGAGGTGCACAAAAGGTGAAGAATTAAGCCAAAGCAGCAGTTCAGAGTCAGGTGGAGACAGAGAGACAAGCAGGCTAAGTGTGCTCACTCCAAATATAAATTTAAAAGAAAAAATAGGGGAAAAAATGGTAAAATTATATGCTGAGAACATCCTGGCTCTTCTACTACTACCTGAAGGGGCAAAAGAAAGAGTAAGATTAGTGGTTTTAGCCACATAAAATTATCTGTCAGAATGAAGAATGAAATGGGACAAAATTGAATTCTTCCCATTTTGAAAACCCAAATAGCAGAGTACAAACTGGATCAGCCTTTAATTTGCTATAAAAAGCCTTGCAACTGCTAACCACATGACAGATGTTGTGTCTCATTTGGCCCAATATGTAATACTGGAAGGGGTGGAGCTTTAACATTAATTCTAGAAAACAGAAGTATCACAGACAGTCACCTCACAATTGTATTATTGTGATGTGCTCTGCATGGGGCTGTCCTTGAAGACCCTCTGGAAACTACAGCTGGTGCAAAATGCAGTAGCACAGGCAGTGATGGGGGCACCATGTTATGCATGTGTAACTCTGATGCTTTGGGACCTGAACGGGTTCCCAGTTGGCTTCTGCTGCACTTCAAGATTCTGGTTATTACCTTTAAAGCCCTTCATGGCACAGGGCCTGGCTATCTGAGTGATCACTTATCACCTGCTGCCTCTGCTCATCCAGTTCAATCCAGCAGAGCAGGTGCATTAAAGGTCCCGTCAATTAAAGAATATCATCTGGCGGACCAAGGAAGCACACCTACTCTGTTGCAATTCCAGCCCTCTGCAATGATCCCCCTCCCCCGAAATGTGTGCAGCTGCCACCAATTACTGAGGAAATTACAGAAACTTGGTTGTTTTCCCAGGCCTTGGGGACAGGGTGATTGTGGAGTCCCCTTCTTGTTTTGCTTTATTTTGAACTGATTTGTTTTGGTCTTTTTGTATTTTGCTATTCTGGTTGGCTGCATTTCTTTTAATATGTTGGACTTCAATTGTAAGCCACCCAGAGTCAGTCAGTCAGGAGTTGGGCGTTCTATAAAATAAATTAGATAACTTAAATAAGTGAGCATTAGGTTCAAATTTGCCTTTTTTTCCCCTCTGAGGTTATGTATTATCCTCGGTTCTTCCACAATAACATATCACTTGAATGGACTTTTAAAAATCCCTTTGTTCTGTTCTCTGTCTAGAATAAAATGGTGAATCCTCTGGATTTCAGTATATACTGCAAAGCATTTTATAAACAAAAATATCCAAAGAAACCAAAATTCTGAGCACAAGAATCCACAGGCTACCTCTCAATTATATGGGAAATTCCTTATAGGACTTTTGCTGGCAAATCATATGACCAAAAAATAAACTATAATTAAATTTACATTTGGAGAAAGTTAAAAGGCCATTTCTTTAAAAAAGATTTATAATATGAGCTGCTTTTTAAATATAGAATGTTCTTATATGCCATTTTGCATTTTCTACTCTTCTGCAAGCAGAGATCTGCTCCTTCTTCCACCAAGTCTGATGTAGATACAAGAAATGAAAGCACTAAATCCTATCTGCTGAAAACATAATGAAAGTGCTGGCTACTAAGATCAGCTTGGTTACATGCCCTAAGTTATAAACGCAAGGCATACAGTGCTGGTTACAGCAACAGACATGTTTCAATTTATATCTGCATGAAATTTCTGGTTTCTATCTATTGTCCAAGTACTTTTATAATATATGAGAATAGGCCTATGTTGATCATTCTCTGAATAGGCTCAATGGAGCTATGGAGTGGAAAAGCTGCTTTAAGGCTTGGTGCAACTGTTGCCTGGTTGCACCAAAAGAACTTCTAGGCATGCCTGTTGTGCTTGTGCCTTTGTAAGTCCAGAAGACACTCTGCAAGGATAGGTGACAAAATGAAGCCTATACGAGAGGAAATAATCTCAGCTAAGCCAACTGCTTCTCACCCTAGGAAGGATACCGCAAGGATAAACTACAGAAAAATAAACTCTCCCCTTCACCTCAAGCTGCTTGCAAGAGTCATTTCAACAAGATGGGCGGTGACAAATTTTACAAACAAACTAACAAAGATGAATGGTATTAAAAGGTACAGGTAGTCCTTGC